GTGCTTAATGCTTAATATCTCGTGGCTCCGTGAATACTTGCATTATTTGAGAGTCGAAATGGGACCGTCCTAGTGAGTCATGTTCCATGTGTGGTGAGGTTTTTGTGTAGTCCATGCATTGTACTTGTGTCTAGAACTTGCCTAGTATGTGAGTTGAAGCGAAATTTTAGGTGATGCTCGGTTTGAGAAATGATTTTAGGCTTTCTTTGATCTTTTTGAGCTTATTGCTTACCATAAATAATATTTGTCCCTAGCTAACCCTTTTGTGCTTATAGACTTTTATTTGGCACCCACATTATAAGCATGTACCCTTTTTATTCTTAATTGACGTTATTTTGATCCCTTTTCCTCTTAAAGCACTTTTAATTGTGAGCTGACCGCTAAAAGAAGTAAGAAGGAACTAAGTGTGGGGTGACTTTTGAGTGGAACCAATAAAAGGAAGAAAGGTGCACTTGTTTTTTTTTAAATAATACACCACTAGCGGGAATTGAAAAAAAAAAAGAATAATCTGAAAAAAGAAAAAGAAAAAAGAAAATAGAGATGAATACATTGTTGTCTTGTTCTTGATAGTGGGTATGAATTAATGTAGTGCTTAAAGAAGAAGGGAGCATTTTTGGGGTGATATTATTTGTGAAAGTGAGGTGGATTGAAGAATTTGCGCTTAAAGTTGATTATGTGGTGTGTTAAAGTACTTAGGAGGGTTAGTCACTATTCCTAAATATATCCTACCCGTCCCTTAGCCCACATTACAACCATGAAAAAGACCTAATTGATTTTAGATCGAGCGAGCCTACATTAGTAGAGATTTACATTAAGGGCAAGCCTATGGTACCAATTACATGCATGTGACTTCTTTTGTGAGGGTGAGCGATTTTCTTTGATATATGTGAGCATGAGATTCGAATGTGTGGATTGATTTCACTTTCTTTGCTTTGGTTGTGAGGGCACATGGTTTCACGAAGGATAGGTAACGTTATTAGACTTCTCTAGGATGTTGGGTGTTCAAGCCATGAGTGCATTATGATATTGAGTCGGTTTTTGAGGCTAGGATTGTTGTGAGCATATTGTCTTTGTTTGAATATTTTTGAAGAATGACATAAGTAAAGGGAATTGTATGATGATTGCATATGCTAGAGTTTAATTGTTGCTATCAACCATAATCATTGGTGTAGTGTGCTTCGAATATGTTAGTGCTCATAGATAGAGTAAATTTTTGGTTGACTCGAGGACGAGCAACGTTTAAGTGTGGGGTGTTGATGATAGGCTATAATTACGTATTTTAGTCGATTATTACACTCTAATTTACTGCACTTTAATTGAGTTTGAGCTTTAATCGCTAGTGTTTTGCAATAATGGTGTGTTTTATGCCTTGTAGGAGTGATTCCGAGCTATGTAGATGTTATGGAATGAATTCAAGTGATTTGGAGCTTTGAAGTCTGAGTAAAAGTTCAAGGAATTAAGCCGGGATCGTGTTTGGGGGTCAACGGATAATAGTTAGAGCTAACGAAGACTCGAGTAGGCATATCGCGCACTGTCTAGTAAAAAATACATAACTATTTGCTCAGAACTCCATTTGGGCTCCACAATATATGGTTGGGAATCTAACTCAAAGGGCTACAACTTTCATGTTTGACGTTTTTCCAAATTCTAAGCGGAATAGGGTGAAAAATGCGCGTCAATAGCACGGTCGCGCTCGTCAGGCAGAACACTAGGCCACTAGCGCGACCGCGCTAGTCAAACCCGGAAAAAGTGTCCTTTTGTTAGGGCCCAACCCTACTTGGTATATATACATGGAAAAATGGTATTTTGAGAGAGTTGGACAAACTTTTGACGAAGGGAGAGCACAGAGTCGCCGTGGAGGCCGGGTTTCATCTTTTCTTCCACCAAACTTAGTATATTTTATGTTTCTTTGTATGATTTGTTGTTTTGCTACCATGTCTATGTGGAGCTAAACATCACGTTCTAGGGTTGTGGTTCTTTCATGACTATTGTTATTCGGATATTGATTTTGATTTCTTAGTTTATCATATTGGTTTATTTATTTAATCCTGCACTTAATTATTTGATTGCTTGATCACCAATTGAATACTATCTACGAATGTTGAACTGAACTCGAAAGTGGGAATTCTAGATTGCATATAGGATTGAGTAGAGCAAGTTCTTGAACCTGGGCATCGGGGAACGGATTCGCGGTTAGGATAGACATATACCTAATTGCCTTGCTTGGTTAATTTACAGGAATTATAAATGCGTTCTTGTTGATTCTAACTTCATAGACATATAGGCGTTAGGTTAGCTTGAATAGGCGAGTAAGAACTCGACAGATTCTTATGAGCAATATTAACCCTGTTAACCAATAAACTAGGCGAGTAAGAACTCGCCAGATTCTTATGAGCAATATTAACCCTGTTAACCAATAAACTAGATAAATTAGTTAGTCAATTCAATTGAAGAATACAATAGGAATGTTAGATAGCCCATAACCCTAGATCGTTTTCATTACATTGATATCATAAAAATCTGCTCTTTCTCTGTTCGAAGTTCATTGTTTATATTTCTTAATTTAATTAGTTTAGAATCAAATATTTCTAGGTATAATTCTTGTTTAGATAATGAAGATAGTCTAATTTAGTTAATAGTTAATCACAAGTCTTCGTGGGTTCGACATCCGACTTTTAGTCACTTTATTACTTGACGACCGCTTATACTTGCGTGTGCGTTTGGCCGTAACATTTCCAGAGGAAGAAAGGATCCCAGTGTCTAAATTGATAAGTTTATGGATAGCGGAAGGCTTCGTGCAGAACATTGAATCTAGGATATTAATGGAAGAGACAGCTGAAGGTAATGGTTTCAAGGAGAAGATATTACGGTAAAGTCAAATACTGCCAGGTTCATGATGTAGTGCTTCACTTTTGCTTGGAGAGGAGTAGAGAAGAAAAGTTTATGTTGGCAGCGAGGGGGAAAATTCTACCTTCTGATTTGAAGGAAAGTCGAGTAAGCTTCAGTTTCAGTAATGAGCTTTCCAAGTTTGCATCCAAAACAGGGAAGCGTTTCCACCAACACTTGAGGTCACTGATAACCACCAATAGAGGAGAATCTTTATATTGGAATCCCTTCAGTCAGGTTATTAATTTGATGATGCTTCTTAAGAAAGCGCGATTTTCTTCATTGTGGGACTACCAAGTCTGGAGTATCTCGAATTAAGGGATCCGTATTTTATTCATTCCGGAGAGTGGTGCCTTGGAGATATCACGTTCCACAAACTGAAGTGCTTGAAACTGAGCTACTTAAAAATCTCAAGGTGGGGTGCCCTAATCTCAGAGGAATCTTTTCCCAGGTTGAAACACTTGTTATAATAAAGTGTGAATATCTCGAGGAGACCCCCCTTAGCTTTGCAGATATTCCAAAGCTGAAGCAGATTAAGTTGATGGGATGCAGCTACAATAAATCTCTGGTGGCTTCTGCTGTGAGAATTAACAAAGAAGTTGAAGAGAATGAAGGATGCGACCGTATTGACCTCATTACTTATGTAAGTAGAAACAAACTCCAATGTGATGTTTTAGTGTCTTAATGTGCAAACAATATGTTCAATACAGGATTTTTAATGGATGTTTCAGGCAGCTGTGAGTCAAGCATGTGCTTGTCACAATAACATGGTATAGTTTTCAGTTTTTTCTCCCCTCCTCCCTTATACTAGATGTTTGCTTTCTCTTAATTTCGATCTCAAATTAACAAGGATGTGTTGAATTTGACAATTGCTTAGGCAACTGCAGCAAAAGCACAGACAGAGTTGACGGAGTTCTTTCTTAGCTAATTGTTGTAGTCATGCTCTCATGCTGGGGTCTATTATGCAGCTAGCGGAAACACAATCTCCTTATACTGTAACATTACTACTGATTATTGCTAGTCTGTTTTGATTGATCGATTGAGACGCATACCCTCTTTTATCTGTACGTTTCTAATGAGCTTAAGACTAAGCCTACCAAGGTGAATTAAAAGCTGATTTGACAGTGTATTGAATGGTTTTGATAGGCGCAAGCCCTTTGATTTAGGCCCTAATTTCTGATACAAAAATGATTATTTAGAAGAAATCTGTCTTTGATTTGTTTATCATGTGATTGTTCTTCATATATACCTGTGTGTTATAGAAGATTTAATCCCCAAGGAATTGTCAATCTTATAGAGGTTGCATACCTTGAAATAGGCAATTGTAAAGCTAGGTGAGTGTCAGTACTTTGGTGACATAAAGGTTATTGTAAAGTGGTTCTGCTCTGCAATCGCGATGCACCAGCTCACAGCAGAAAACTGCAGCTGCAATATGGTTCCAATATGTGATGAAACCCGCCCGAGCCCCTCGGGTCCCAACCCAAATCATCCCAACAAGTCTCAAATAGTAAATATTGACTTGTACAAAGGCTCAAAACATAAATTGGGATGAAAATACTAAAATCGAGGGGTTGGGTTGTTACGAGTCTTGAGCAAGCTGATTCGTAAGGAAAGCATCATATTATGCTTGGAATGTGAATTCTCAAATACTTTTGGAACTAGCAATATTATTAATCATATATATTTCAAGTTTAATATATTTTTCAGCTGAATACTGCTGAAATATTCTTCTAGTGTATTATTTCATCTTCATCATAAATGCAAGGTCACGGGTTCGAGCCGTGGAAACAGCCTCTTGCAGAAATGCAAGGTAAGGCTGCCTATAATAGATCTTTGTGGTCCGGTCCTTTCCCGGACCCGGCTCCTGTCCTTTTAAGAAAAATAAAAATTAATCATTGGAAAAAGCAATTCGTGAGCTCTACTACTTGTATATTAACTAATGCAACCATTGACTTAGAAAGCCAATGGAAATGGATTATAACCTGACGATTAGCTGTCTCTCTGTATTATTAATATACTAAGCCATGTTATTCATTAACTAATGCAACCATTGACGCTGGAAGGCCAATAGGGAATGGATTCTAACCTGCCAATTATCTGTCTATCTGCACTAATAATATGATAGCACATGTTAAACATAATAAAAAAAAAAAAATGCAACAAATAATTTTTAGTAACATTTGGATCCAGTCCATATGTATTAAACATAATTTTGGTTGAAACCATAATTATTTATCCACTAATCTTGTTAGAGTATGCTAATGTGAAGAGTATGATAAATCATTCCCCCTTCCAACCTTTCTACTGATAATCTTTTCTTGTTAGAGTTGTCATTACTAGTTTTCTTCTACCGCAAATTTTGGCCTTTATCAGGTATGTTACTATAAATTTTTATTAATGTCACTTGATGCGTTATAATAGAAAACCTTATCATTTATTTTGTTGATCTGATCGTTTCTGTGACTAATTTTCATTTTTACGCCCCGAATCATCTTTTTTATCTTTTCTTTGGTGGAACCTGCTTTGAATTTTAAATATAGTTATCAATAGCGGCGGACCCAAGATACAAGGTCATGGGTGCATTTTTTTATTAAACCAGAATCTGCTTTGTATATAGGATGTCACACTGTCACCAGTAATAGATTTCTATTTTCTGAAGTCATATACATGTATACATGAAATTTTTACCAAAACAATGACCCCTTTCTCTATAACATAGGTCTGCTTCTGGTTAACAACTCTTTTTTTCTTTTTTCTTTTTTAGGATTGGAACAGAAATTAGAGATTCAAAATAGGTAAAAGATCAAGACTGCTCTTCACGCTTGCTTCACTGTAAGTCTGAATATGAACTTTAAATTGTTTTCTTTCTTGTCGAAATCTTTAAGTTTGTTTAATTTGCAATCAAGAAAGGTGAATTCATTTGAGCCATAATTTACTGCCATACTTCCCAAGTTTTTTTTTCCTTTCAAAATTATAATTATATAAATTAAACTTTTTTTTTTTGGTTGAAAAGATAAGCATATTATATATACTTAAACAAGTACATAAGAGTTTGTGGGATGCATAGCTTGCATCAGATTAGAACAACTAGAGTTGGCTACATTAGTAACTACATCACTATCACTACTACTAACATTCCTACTACTGATACTACGGTTAGCAAACATTAAACTAGATTTACATAGACGTCTTCTTAGCGTTCCTGCTTGATCCTGCTGGAAAAACACTATGACAAAAGGAGGAGGACTTGAAAAAAGTACACAACGTGCCTCCACATTTGCTGCTCCATACTTAGCTAGACAATCTGCCACAAAATTTTGCTCCCTGAAGATGCATTGTATTTTTGGATCATCCAGATGATGGAGTAATAACCTACAATCATTTAATAAGTTAGTATATGTGATATTAGGATTAGTAAGCATACTGAGTACGACAGTAGCATCTGTTTCAATGATCAGTGGTTGAAGTTGGTGCTGAACAACTAGTTTTAGCCCCATTAAAAGGGCTAGCAATTCTGTCTGGATACATGATCCATGTTGTGCACGTCCTGCAAAACCTAAAATCCAATTGCTCTGCTGATTCCTAAAGCACCCTCCTATACCATATTTATTCTGAGTGATAAATGTTGACCCGTCTATATTTAATTTGAAACCCTGGCCATCCGGGGGATGCCATTTAATATAAAAAGACCTTAGTGAAGTATTACTATTCGTATGATTTGTGAGGTAATAATATTCAGCGACCTGTTTGTAAAGCAATGAAACACTTGATTTAAGAAGTTTATGATCAAAGTAATTTTTATTTCTTATAGACCATAATTGCCACAAAGCAAAGAGTAAAATGATGGAAAAAGGAATGCACTTATAAGTTAGCAAATTCTGCTTAAGTATGAAGTTGTACCACTAAGCACTATGATGAATAGTTGCTGGCCCAACCCTATGAGTAGTATTTACCTTAAGAGCAGCCCAAAGTGCAGTATCATTAGAACATTCCATAAAAATATGGTATATAGTCACAGGTGCCAGTTGGCATTGTGGACACAAAGGTGAATTGATAATTTGTAACTTATGCAAATATGCAGCTGTTGGAATCCTGTCATGACACAGTAACCATACAAAGAAGGAAATCTTGGGTGGGATTCTGAATTTTCAAATCCAATTATAGTGTACTTCCTCATTTATAGTAGAAATATTAGAGACATATGCAAGAATATTATACATAGATTTAACAGAGAACAACCCATCCTGTGTAAGTGCCTAATAAAGCTGATCATAACCGACGGGCACCATTGACATATAAGCATCAGCAATTGAGTCTGCTAATTGAGAAGGTAACACAAAAGGCAAAAGGTGTAAATGCCACCTATGATTAAAATAGTATGCAGACACATTTTTCCTATCTTCACCTTTAGGTAGGGGCCCATAGATATAACTACGGACCAGAGTATTATGACATATCCAAGGTTCAGTCCAGAAATTTATATTTTTACCATCAGTCAGATTTCATTTGTAACCTAATTGACAGTTGGACCAACACTTAATAATGTTTGACCAAGTTCTTGAACCAGTAATTCTACTTGCTTTAGAAGACTTAAGATAACTATGAATCAAAACTTGTGCCCATATCTGAGTAGGATTTTGAAACAGCCTCCAAGCAAGACTAGAATGTAAGGATTGATTTTTAAGACTGAGGTTTTGGATGCCCAATCCCCCTTTCTCTAAGGTTTGAGTAACCATTGACCAATTTATAAGATGTAATTTTTTTCTCTGAGGGGTAGTGCCCCAAAAAAAATTCCGTTGATATCTATTAAGGGAGGAAATAACATGCGAAGGCAGGGTAATATATTGCAGTAAATGGTTAGGAAGGTTATTCAAAGTAGATTTTATTAGAGTTTGTCTTCCAGCTTTGGATAAAAAATGAGTTTTCCATCCAGCTAACTTGGATTTGAAATTATCTATTAAGAATTGATAATCTCTTTTAGTGGGTCTGGAAGTAAATATAGGAGACCCTAAATACTTACCAAACTGTGTGCCCTTAGCTATTTGAAAATTATTTTGTATGGCAACCTTCATATTATCAGGACAATTCTTAGAGAAGAAAACCCTTGATTTGTTAAAGTTTATAGTTTGCCCCGCGTGATAAGTAAATTGAGTGATGGTATTAACTATGGATTGACATGATTAGAAGTAACTTTTGAGATTAAAATAATGTCATCTGCAAAGAAAAAATGAGATAATTGAGGCCCTCTGTTGCCTATTGAAATAGGATGCCAAATCACTTGATATGTTGTATCTGAAAACCCTTGGACCATATTTTTGGTTAGATTATATTGGGAAGATTTTGATCCTTTTTTCTTTCTCGATAATGATCAAATCTTCGACATTTATTTTAACTTTTTTTTTTTTGGTTAGAATACTTATCTATCTCTTTTGCTCGTTTTAGGAATGGACCAGAAATTGAAGATACAAAACAGAAAAAAGAAAAGGCAAGGAAGACAAAGGTACTCTTCACGCTCTATTGACTGTAAGGCTGAAAATATTTTAATCACATTTTGCAATTATTAGGGTTGTACATAGGTCGGGTTGGTTAATTTTTCAATTATCAAATCAAACCAACAGTGTCGGATTTTAAAATTTATAAACCAAACCAACAAAATCGGGTTTTTCAATCTCGGTTTTTCTCGGGATTTTTGGGATTTTCGATTTTTTTCCCCGATAAAGTCTTCATGGCATAAAATATGTAATTTGTGCTCCAAATATTTCTAGTAAAATACGACTATATAATGTGTTTATCAAGAAACTAATACAATGATATGAGATAAGTCATAGCATTATACTAAAATATTCAATAACAAAGATAAAATAATAAAATTACATAAAACAAATATTGCTAATTAATAAGCCATAATAAAAATTAACATAATCTAAAAATACTATATAGGTCATGCTAAAATAAGTACAGCTAATAAGTACTAATATTAATTACATAACTAAGTACTAAAGAAAAAGATAAACTAAGTTATGTTTTTTCATTATAAACCAATGTAAAACTAACATAATTATCTAACACTTTCATCATTCCTAGTAGTGAATTGAATTTCTTTTGTTAGCGTATTGGTATTGATTTAAACATTTTTTGAGTTTATACATTATCGGCTATAAAATTTATTTACCATTCAAGAATGTTAAGTCTATACTTGAAATAATACGTTAAAAGATAAAATTGTGAAAAAGTCTAAGAAATATTTATAAATTACATTACAATAAATATTTATATGTATAAAATATTTTTAAAAATTATACAAATGTACTATCGGGCTGCTTTGGTTTAGGTTTGACTTTTTTTAGTTAAAACTAAACCAAACCAATTATGGTCGGATTTTATTTTCCAATACCAAACGAAATCAAATAACCACATCGGTATTTTTTCCGGTTTGACTCGGATTATCGGTTTGGTGCGGTTTATCGGTTTTCTTTGTACGCCCCTAGCAATTACCATGGTAACAGCTACTGCCTCCCTAATTTATGTGACACTTTTCGCGCTTTTCGAGATTTGAACCGAAAATAGAGAACTTCGGGTGGGCGAAATTCAAGGAAGAAAAACGTGTTATTTTTCAGTGCAAAAAACGGCCAGCTATATACCATGTATATATAGCTATGTTTATTAGGTCAAAACACTTTTCCAAAACCTGTTAGGTTTTCTTCTTCCACTAAGGAAAGGTTTCCTTTATTTCCTATTATTCAAGCACAGTAGGGACCACAGAATTTAATTAACAAGGCTTCCTATTATGGAGTTAATTTTGAAATTTTGAAATTAATTTCTACCATAATAAATTACGAATTATTCCACTAAGAATTCGTAATTGCACTCCTTAGTCAATTTCGAAATTCTTCCATAAAACCTTATTTAACTCCCCATTCTAAGATTGAGATACTAACCAATAAAATTAAATTACTGACAATTTAATTTATTGATTAGTTCCTTTAGACTTTCACTTAACTTATTTCATGTGTCGGATACAAAATCCACCAGTCGGGTTTACACATGAAAACTTATAAGCATTCATAAAGGAGTATCATCAATCTCAAAAAACCGAGACATGGATTCTATCAACTAATTATTACTTCGCTAATGTATATCATTATTGTCCAACTTACCAGGCCTATTGACCCACGAAAGAATCTCGCCTTTTAATAAATCAAAACAATAAATGATATACACAACTAATAATAATTATATCAAGATTAAGAGTATAAGTACATTGAATGGACTAGAGAAATTATTTTATTAAGTCGGTATAAAATACCTATCTCTACTTGATCCATTCAATAAATACAAAATGTACTAGCACAAAAATTAGACCATTCCCATAATCAAGATAAATTATATTTAATCTTGTGCTACAACCATTCCGATGGCTTGTCCAATTCTATCATTAGGTTGTGAACATAAACTTTATGACTTATAAGAACTGATGATTTAATCTTCCGTGTATAAGCTAAACTCTATACACTAAATCATCTACTATATAAGCAACGGACACACAAACAAATACATGATCTATTTAAAATAAAACTTTATTGAATTGAATAAATAAATAAATAATTGTTCCATAAAGAATACTATAACAATACGCATGGTTTATAGTATATCCTAACAATCTCCCATTTAGACTCATAACCATGCGACTACAATTCTGACACCCATTCTGTCTACATGCCTATCAAAAGTCTTCTGTGGTAAGCTCTTAGTAAACGGGTCCGCCACGTTGTTCTCCGACGCAATCTTGGTGACTACTACATCCCCTCTTTGCACTATCTCACGAATTAAATGATATGTACGCTCAATGTGCTTTTCTCTTTTATGGCTTCGCGGCTCCTTTGAATTTGTAACTGCACCACTATTATCACAATAAAGCATTATTGGTGCTTGAATCGAGGGAACCACATTCAACTATCTTAGGAAGTTCCCGAGCCAAACCGCCTCTTTGGCTGCCTCAAAGGCAGCCACATATTCGGCTTCCATGGTGGAACACAAGTTTGCTTGATGCTCCTCCAACTTATGGCTCCACCTCCCAGAGAAAACACATTTCCTAAGGTAGACTTTCTAGAATCTTTATCTGATTGGAAACCCGAATCAGTGTACCCAATAGGCACAAGTTCATCCGAATAGTAGACTAGCATGTAATCCCTAGTCCTTTTCAGGTACTTGATTATATGCTTAACCGCTGTCCAATGGTCTCTTCCAGGATTAGACTGAAATTTGCTAACAACTCCAACGACAAAGCAGATATCAGGTCTAGTACATAACATAGTATACATCAGACTCCCCACAGCAGATGCATAAGGGACCGCCTTCATCTTTTCTATCTCTTCATCAGTTTTAGGAGACTGATCTTTAGATAGAGAAACTCCATGCCTGAAAGGGAGAAATCCTTTCTTGGAATCATGCATGCTAAACCTGGAGAGTATTGTATCAATGTAAAGAGCCTGAGATAAGCCTAATATCCTTTTCTTGCGATCTCACAAGAGCTTGATCCCGAGGATATGAGCTGCTTCTCCCAAATCTTTCATATCGAAGTGCGTGAACAACCATTGTTTAATCGAATCTAACATGCCCACAGTATTTCCTCTGAGCAATATGTCATCTACATACAAGATTAAAAATGCCACTTTGTCCCCATCCCATTTTTTGTATACATAAGATTCGTTAAGACACTGATCAAAACCAAAAGTTTTAATCGCCTTGTCAAAACAAGTGTTCCATGCCCTAGATGCCTGTTTTAGTCCATAAATGGACCTTTTAAGCTTACACAACATGTGCTCTTTGCCACTTTCCACGAAACCGTCTGGTTGCATCATATAGATGTACTCATCAAGACTTCCATTAAGGAAAGCTGTCTTGACATCCATTTGCCAAAATCTCATAATCATAATGAGCAGCAATGGATAAGAGAATCCTTATAGACTTAAGCATGGCTACCGGCGAGAAGGTTTCCTCATAATCGATCCCTTCTTTCTGAGTAAACCCTTTCGCTACAAGCCTTGCCTTAAAAGTTTGTACTTTTCAGTCTACACCTCTCTTTTTCTTATAGATCCACTTGCATCCAATGGGTTTAACCCCATCAGTTGGTTCTACAAGATCCCATACTTGATTAGAGTACATAGACTCCATCTCTGATTTCATAGCAGCAACCCACTTATCGACATCCTTATCATGTAGTGCTTGGTCGTAATTGACAGGTTCAGAGGTAGGCTCCTCAGGGATCCAATCATATGATTCTCCCAAGAGCGTATAACGAACTGGCTGTTTTATTTCCTCCTACTACGACTACGCACTACATCAGTTGCAACTACATCATTTTGATTTTGTGGTTGAACCACATCATCATCAGGAACCTGAGTCTCCATGCTATCCACGGGGATATCAACGACTTCTTCCTGTTATGCAGTCTGTTCAACATGACTCCCACTACTTTGTGGTAGTATGACTTCGGGCACTTGTTCTTGCGAGAAATTAAGTCTATTGACATTTCTCACACTACTAAAATGCAATGGTATGTCAAAATCGACTTCCGGGGTTTGGATATGGTCGTTTTGTTTTTCAGATGACTGAGTTTCCATTCCTTTGCTAAGTTCCTGTAAAACGAGTTTACTTCTAGGAATATGGTTCATCAAATAGTCCTCTGCAAGAAACTTGGCATTTGTGCTAACAATTACCCTTTTCTCTTTTGGACAATAGAATAAACCACCTTTCGTCCCTTTTGGATAACCTACAAACACGCATACATCCATTCTTGCCTCCAATTTATCCGTTTTCCCTTTCAGCACATGTGTTGGACAACCCCAAACTCGAATATGCCGCAGACTAGGCTTGCGCCCAATCCACAATTCTGTAGGGGTCAAAGGTACTGACTTTGAAGGAACTAAGTTCAGAACGTAATTCGCCGTTTCTAAGGCATGTCCCCAAAAGGACTTAAGGAAAATCGGAATAACTCATCATTGATCTAACCATTTCCATAAGAGTCCTATTTCTTCTTTCAGCTACACCATTTTGTTGTGGAGTTCCAGGTGCAGATAATTGAGATGTAATTCCACATTCTGATAAATAACCAATGAAATCCGCAGAGAGGTACTCCCCACCACGATCAGATCGTAGTGTCTTGATATATTTATTATGTCGCTTTTCAGTCTCAGTCTTGAATTCTTTGAACTTTCCAAAACATTCAGACTTTCGACGCAACAAATAAATATATCTATATTTTGAGTAATCATCTGTGAAAGTCATAAAATACTCAAAACCACCTCTTGCTTGGACATTCATTGGACCACACAAATTAGAATGAATTAACTCTAATTTATCGCTTGCTCGATTTTCTTTTGAGGGGAAATTTCGTTTTGTCATTTTTCCTTCTAAACAAGATTCACAAGTTGGTAGTTCCTCCACTTTCAATGAACTTAAAGGTCCATCCGTGACCAACCTTGAAATTCTGTTTAGATTTATATGACCCAAACGCAAGTGCCATAAATATGTTTCACTCAATTCAGAAGAACATTTTCTCTTACTTGGTAAATCAACATAATTCAGTTCTTTAGGTTGTAACGGTTTAGGAATAGAGTCAACAACAAAAAGACCATTAATCAATGTAGCCGAAGAGAGATAACGTTTATCATGAGTAATAACACATTTATAAATATCATGAAAATTAATGTCATAACCATCTCTCATAGCGCTAGAAATCGAAATTAAATTCCTTCTAACGGATGGTACATATAATGTGTCTTTTAAAGCTAAAACTCTACCACTACCAAACGAAATACTAATGTTTCCTATTGCTAAAGCTGGGGCTGACGAACCATCTGCTTGATAAACGTTGATTTCTCCTCTACTTAGCCGCCGCGTTACCTGAAACCCCTGCAAATAAGTGCAGACATGATTAGTGGCTCCCGAATCTACACACCATGACATGGTAGAAACAACCGCTAAAAGAGTTTCAACGACAAGTAGATGTAAATCACCTGGTTTATTTTTCAGCTTGGCCAGATAAGTCGGACACTGCTTCTTATGATGCCCAGGCTGCTTGCAGTGATAGCACTTGCCCTTAGCCTTTTTCATACTAGCAGTTGCGCCACCAACAGAAGATTTTTGAGTCTTTTTCTTCTTCTGACCGCCTCTCGACTTAGAAGCAGAACCTGTCTCAAAATTCAATGCCACAGGAGGAGCTTGTTGCTTGATAATAGTCTCTGCCGACTGCAGCTCATTCAGCAATTTCGCAAGTGACAAATCCATTTGTTCATGTTATAACTCTGGCAAAACTGCTGAAAACTGTCAGGCAGAGTCTGTAAGATCATTTCAACCTGCGTATCCTTATCAATGTTAGCTCCAAAGACCTCCAGTTCATTCAGAAGACTCATCATCTTCAGAACATGGTCCCTAAGCGATGAACCTTCAACCATTTTGGTATTCAGAAGAGCTTTCATGGCAGTCTGCTTAGCCGCACGATTCTGATCTCCAAATATTTCTTTGAGATTTTCCAGAATGTCATAAGCAGACTCCATTGACTGATGCTGATGTTGCAGAACATTTGACATAGATGCCAGAATGTAACACCGCGCCATCTCATCAGCCTTGACCTATTTCTGGTAAGCCTTTTGTTCATCATCTTTAGGTTTTTCTGGACACACCTCATCGAGCACAAATTTGTACTCTTCAGCAATTAGGACAATGTCCAAGTTTCGTTTCCAATCAACATAATTCGGACCCTCAAGTTTGTTTTGAGTAAAAATAGCAGTAAGGGGATTGAAAGCAGTCACTGTTAATCTTGGAGATAATTTCATTAAATAGATCAAAATAAGTCATGTTTATTTGAATATTAAAACTCAAAACACACTACATATGTATAATCTATGCACCTTGAACAACAAATTTCGATGGGAAAAAAGCTATTCTTGCAATATACATATATAATGACAGATTATTCACTCCATGAATTTAGACAGGCCATACTCAGATGGAGAGTAAACTGTTAAGTTAAGTCAAGTGAATATCAACATTCAATATATATACTAGCTCCATTGAACCAACATGCATACTCAGATGGAGAGTGAATACAAGTAATCAACAACTAGTATAACCTAGTGATTATCCATAATGAGTTTATCCGATATGGAAGAAGACCTACATCAACGTTTAAAAACATTATATCACTAGTATTTTAACCCTGTAGTCCATAGGAATCGATCCCTACCACCACTGGATTAAAAACAACTCAAAAAAGTTTTGAATTTTTTTTAGAAAATCAATAAAACGTCCAAAAACCCATCTAAACGACCCCGAATGCCCAAAAAATGACGTATCACATGAGCTTTAGCCGATGATTATTGCTCACTGGGCCGTTTCGTATGAACCTGCCAAGTTTCAGGTCAATCGTAGTCTGTCAATATGTTGACCTCCGATTTTCTGGCCTAATTCGGCCAAATAGCGATTTTTTTCGTTTTTCATGGAACAATGTAATTTTCAGATTATTATGATCAAATATCATAAACCATAAACAGATATTACATGATTTTCAGAATAATCATAATACTCAAAACAAATATTCATGTTAAGAACAATGTAGTTTTACAAAATTCAAAACCAATCTTTGCAGGTAATTCAAAACTTGCATATTAACATGATACTTATTTTATTGTTCATCCTAATCATTTAATTAGACGTGAGTAGGCTCTGATACCAATTGATGGAATATATATCGCAGCGGAAGCAATCACAGTGTCTTATTCACGTGTAAATTAAACAATTAGCACATACGGAGATTATACGAGTTACCTCTTGAAGCGTGAACGAAGCAAATTGATATCCTTCTCCAGTTCCAGAATTGCAAGACCTCAGCAACTTCCACAGTCTTCTACTGTGTTACCCAAATAAAATCCGAAAATAAAGAACTTCGGGTGGGCGAAATTCAAGGAAGAAAAACGTGTCATTTTTCAGTGCAAAAAACGGCCAGCTATATACCATGTATATATAGCTACGTTTTTTAGGTCAAAACACTTTTCCAAAACCTGTTAGGTTTTCTTCTTCCACTAAGGAAAGGTTTCCTTTATTTCCTATTATTCAGGCACAATAGGGACCACAAAATTTAATTAACAAGGCTTCCTATTATGGAATTAATTTCGAAATTTTGAAATTAATTTCTACCATAATAAATTACGAATTATTCCACTAAATATTCGTAATTGCACTCCTTAGTTCAATTTCGAAATTCTTCCACAAAATCTTATTTAACTCCCCATGCTAAGATTCAGATACTAACCAATCAAATTAAATTACTGACAATTTAATTTATTGATTACTTCCTTTAGACTTTCACTTAACTTATTTCATGTGTCGGATACAAAATCCACCGGCCGGGTTTACACATGAAAAGTTATAAGCATTTATAAAGGAGTATCATCAATCTCAAAAAACCGAGACATGGATTCTATCAACTAATTATTACTTCGCTAATGTATATCATTATTGTCCAACTTACCAGGCCTATTGACCCATGAAAGAATCTCGCCTTTTAATAAATCAAAACAATAAATGATATACACAACTAATACTCCCCCCGTTTCATATTAAATGAGGTACTTTCCTTTTTAGTCTGTTCCAAAACAAATGACACATTTCTAAATTTGGAAATAATTCAACTTTAAACTCTTTCATTTTACCCATTTACCCTTAATGAGAATCTTTTACAGCCACACAAATGTCATGGCCCCACAAACTTTTTACCCCTTAAACTTTTAAGACCACAAGTTTCAAAATTCTTCTTCTTTTTTCTTAAACTCCGTGCCGAGTCAAACTACCTCATCTAATATGAAACGGAGGGAGTAATAATTATATCAAGATTAAGAGTATAAGTACATTGAATGGACTAGAGAAATTATTTTATTAAGTCAGTATAAAATACCTATCTCTACTTGATCCGTTCAATACAGAGGCGGATCCACGTGAAGGGACATGGGGCACGTGCACCCATGCTCCCCTCCTTAGGCTGTGCATCAAAGGGATATTTTCGGATAAAGTACTTAACTATCCACGTGGGAACCCATGCTCAAAAGAGCATTTGGTGTAGTGGTAGCATTGTGCACCATTGACCCCTAGGTCTACTGTTCGAATCCCACTTTCCTATCTTCTATCTCTTAGCCATTTTTCTATTTCTCTTTTTCGTTCTTTTCTTTTGTTCAAAACTCATGTCCTATCTTCCTTTTTGTTCTTTTTTTTTTTTCATCCGTTTTTGGGTTCATCCTTCGATATATCCTTGAATTAAATTTTCATTTTTATTGGATTCTTTTCTGTGTTTTCTTTATTCTTTTTTTTAGTTAAATCATTGAGTTTCAAAAACTATAAAAAATGAAAATTAAATCATTTTGAATCTTTTCAATTTCAAGTTTCCTCATTTTTTATTACCACTCTCTTTTTGATTAGTTATTTAATTTTAATATATTGAGCTTAGTACTTGTAACTATAAATAATGATGTTATTGTTGATAGTTTTCCAAGTTAAATTTTAGAGAACCAGATTAAACGGTGGTCGGATAGTAGTGCACCCATTCTCCTGAAATTCTGGATCCGCCTCTGGTTCAATACATACAAAATGTACTAGCACAAGAAGCTGGAATTAGACCATTCCCATAATCAAGATAAATTATATTTAATCTTGTGCTACAACCATTCTGATGGCTTGTCCAATTCCATCATTAGGTTGTGAACATAAACTTTATGACTTATAAGAACCGATGATTTAATCTTCCGTGTATAAGCTAAACTCTATACACTACATCATCTACTATATAAGCAACAGACACACAAACAAATACATGATCTATGTAAAATAAAACTTTATTGAATTGAATAAATAAATAAACAATTGTTCCATAAAGAATACTATAACAATACGCATGGTTTATAGTATATCCTAACAGGGAGTACTATTAAGTATTAGTAATTGTTTTTGTCGGGACAGCGCGTGGATCTCACCTCCATCAGGTAACGGGGTTCCGAGATATTGTGCCAAATAGTTTTGATACACTAAATATGAAAGAAATTAAGTTCATGTGGTACTTAAAATCACATGGGAGGCATGTATTACAAATGAAACATGAAGGGAGGTTTTTTACAGGTGTTGCATAATCTTTCACAACATGAACGAAAATGCTGTTCTTTATACTACTAATATTCCAAGAGATTGCAGGAATTATCTGCACGAGGTGGCTCAAATTGACATTGAGGATATGTTACATCATCTAAGAAGTATCAAGAGAGGAGGTGATCTGAATAGCGTCAAGATTGAGACACTTGAAACGGAGCTAAGATTTTTGAGAACTTTTCTCGAATACCATCATGTTCTTTTGCCTGATTCATTTGTCAATATCGCAAAGAAGGTCCAATTGATTGGGGGAATGATTCAATCAGTTTTTGCTGATGGATGGAAAACTAACCTTAATGTGGAAAGGCTAGCATCACATTTGCTGAAATTCATTGAAGGTAAAACCAGTTCCAGGTTCAATTATGAGCTGGATGATTCCTATCTGTTAGAATATATGGATTACCTCGACAAGAATCTAAATGATGCACCGAGGTATCTAGTCAAGTCTGACCCTTTTTTGAGGAAAGGACTCAAAATCCTTCAAAAGACAGATCGATTTTTGAAGCAAGTGAAATTCATTCAAAAGAAAATGAGGTTTCTGAGATACTTATATGCCACAGAAATAAATGGCCACATTGACCGTGAGAAGCAAAAAAGATTAGAGATCCAAATGCAACTCGTGGCTGACAATGTGGTACAATTTTGTGTTGCTCTTTGGACTAATGAAATCGATGGAATTAATGCATCTAATATCGAGAATAAGCCCTCTTATTTAATATGTCTGGTTGTGCTAGTGGAGCTGGAAATGAAGACGATTTTTCGTGGTGAACTAAAGGCTTCAAAGTTTAGTCATTCAAGAACTTTCAGAACTCAGAAATTGCCAAAAGGTTTTTCACATCATCTCCATAGTCTTCTGGTATATCTCAGAGAAAAAAAACTTGGGAACTTTCCTAATAATGTATCTGCTCGAAACACTGATGTGGCAATAGAGTACTTGTTGGATTCTCTCGGTGATGTGTCAAATAGTGCTACTAATTGTAAGATGTTGAATGAGGTCTTGGAAAAGGTGGGAGCTCTTGTCGGTGATATTCTATGTGTAATTCACAGCTCTACAATCAAAGATGATACCAGCGAGATGGTTCTTTGGTCGATACAGATATTGATGAAAACTGCAAATCTAAAGGCACAAGTACTGGAGAGGTACTACAAATTGTTAAAATTCACTCCGTCTCAGTTTCCCACAGCTGGTGGATTGAGCTTTCTGGATTCTCTTTTAAGGAAATTGAATGAGATGTTGAAATCTGAATCAGGTTTGGACCTCAAAATGAAGTCTCGTATTGTTATTTTAGAGAAAGAGCTTTCATTTCTAATATCTGTTTTCAGAGATGCCACAAAGGTGCAGCATAAACATGATATTCTTAAAGATCTTTGGCAGCGTACCATCAATATAGCATATGAAGCTGAAATTGCCATTGACTCTATTCTTGTTCAGTATAATGCTCTTTGGCATTCTTTTTGCTCACTTCCTGCAATCATAAAAGAGATCAAGCATATTCGTACTGAGGTGACCAAGATGTGGTCGGAGAACCTTGCTCTTAGGCCTTCCTCTGCTGTTCAGCCATCTAAACTTCTCCCAACTCAACATAGCAATCTTATGAATGATGAGGAGATAGTTGGTTTTGAGAATGACACGAAAAAAATAATTCGGTATCTGACACAAGGGACAAATGAGCTAGATGTCATCCCAATTGTTGGGATGGGGGGACAAGGTAAAACAACTTGTGCTAGAAAGTTGTACAATAATAACATCATTGCTTCTCATTTTGATGTTCGAGCATGGTGCGTCATTTCCCAAACATATAACCGGAGACAACTACTACAAGAGATATTCAGTCAAATTACCGGTTTCAAGGACAATGGAGATAAAGATGACGTCCTTGCCGACTTGTTGAAGAGAAACTTAACGGGAAAGAGATATCTCATTGTCTTGGATGATATGTGGGATGGTATGGCATGGGATGACTTAAGACTTTGTTTCCCTGATGTTGTAAATAGAAGCAGAATAGTAGTGACGACTCGACTTGAGAAAATGGGTGAGCATGTCAAGCACCATACTGATCCTTATTTCCTCCCATTCCTCACAGCAGAAGAGAGTTGCCAATTGTTGCAGAAAAAAGTTTTTCAACAGGAAAGTTGCCCACCGGAACTACAAGATGTGAATCAAGCAGTTGCAAAAAGATGCAAGGGATTGCCTCTAGTGGTCGTCTTGGCTGCTGGAATAATTAAAAAGAAGAAAATGGAAGAATCTTGGTGGCATGAGGTTGAAAAAGCTCTACTTTTCTATCTTGACCGTGAGTCTGAAGATTATAGTCGGGCAACTATGCAGTTAAGTTATGATAACTTAGCCGATTATTTAAGACCTTGCCTTCTTTATATGGGGATGTTTCCTGAGGACGCCAGAATTCCAGCGTCTAAATTGATAAGTTTATGGATAGCAGAAGGCTTCGTGCAGAACGTAGAATCTGGGAGATTAATGGAAGACGCAGCTGAAGATTACTTGAAGGATCTCATAAGCAGTAACGTGGTAATGGTTTCAAGGAGAAGATATAACGGTAAAGTCAAATACTGCCAGGTTCATGATGTAGTGCTTCACTTTTGCTTGGAGAGGAGTAGAAAAGAAAAGTTTATGTTGGCAATGAAGGTGCATTATACCCAATTTCAACCTTCTTATTGGAACGAAACACGATTGAGCTTCAATTTGACAAATGAGCTTTCCGAGTTTGCATTGCTGGACTCCAAAACATGGAAGCCTTTCCACCAAAAGTTGAGGTCACTGAAAACAACCTATAGATACTTCCATCAGTTAGTAGATTGGAATCCCCTCCGTCAGTGTAGTGAACTGAGGCTTCTTAAGGTCTTGGATTTGAGTTCCAATAAAGTGGTTCGTTTGTCGTCAGCTACATTGGAACCACTAATTCACCTCAAGTACCTCGCAGTTGTCGTTGAACAATTTGATTTCCATCCAAAATCACATCTTCCCCATCTAGAAACTTTAATAGTGAGATATAACTCGGGGGATACAGTGTTACCAACGGCTTTTTGGAAAATGGAAAAGTTAAGGCATGTTGAGATTAGTCATGCTATTTTTGATGATGATTTTCAAGAATCCTCTAAATTGGAAAATTTGAGGATATTAAGGAAAGTTATAATTAAAGATGCTGCTAACGAGGATGCCTTAATACAAAGATGTCCTAATCTTCAAGAACTTGGCATAAGCTATGAACGTTCAAGAGATATTTGTCACAAATTGGAGAGTATTACCCAGCTTCAAATACTTCACCTTTTCTTTGACTCATCCCTAGTTGTATCCAAGTTACACTTGCCTTCAAATTTAAAAAAATTGGTACTAAAAGGGACTCGTATAGAAAGCACGATTTCCTTCATATCGGAACTACCAAGTTTGGAGTATCTCCAATTACATAGTTCCATGTTTATGAAATCCGAAGAGTGGCGCCTTGGAGATATCACGTTCCATAAACTTAAGTTCTTGAAACTGGTGGACTTAGGTATAGTAAGGTGGAATGCCTCAGAGGAATCTTTTCCCCAGCTTGAAACACTTGTTATAAAAGTGTGTTATCATCTCGAGGAAATCCCCCTTAGCTTTGCAGATATTCCAACACTGAAACAGATTAAGCTGATGTGGTGCAGCAAATCTTTGGTGGCTTCAGCTGTGAGAATTAAGGAAGCAGTCCAAGATATTGAGGGATGCGACCGTATTAACATCAGTATTGACGTAAGTAGAAACAAACCCCTATGTTTTATTTTTGAGCATCTACCTATGTGCGTTGATATTCGAACAAAGATGCATATATTTACTTATTGTTGTCTCACATTCTAGTACTTTTAATGAGTATTAACTATATTAATTTATGCTCAATATTATATTTTAACTGTGTAGGAATAAAGCGGTATATATGAAGATGAAGAGATTTGGAGCAAGACGAAGGGGGACACTCTTTGGTTGAAGACAAAGGAAAGAAAGATACAATTCTAATAAAAAAAGGAACGTGAAAAGCTCACTGGATCTAGCGATGCTAGAGGCGGGGACCTTTCCTACTTCGTTCGGGACAAGGTTATTTCGTCCTTGCACGGTCCCAACTTATATAAAAGTGGTCCTAAACTTAATTTGGAGGAAATCTAACATACTTTGAAGGAGAATTCACGTGGGGGAACGCAAACCACGCTTGGAGGAGGCTTCCAACTAATTTTTCTTCTCTTCTCTTCCTTTAACTTTATAGTTCATTAGTTCTAGAGTTGTGGGTGCTACGTGAACGTTGTGATTTGAAGCTTGAATTGTTCTTATTATTTTATCATAGTAGTTTATTCATTCAATCTTGTGCTTAATTATTTGATTGCTTGATCACCAATTTAATACTATCTACGAATCTAGGATTGAACTCGGGAGAGAGAATTCTAGATTGCATATAAGATTGAGTAGAGCAAGATCTTGAACTTGAGCATCGGGAACGAATTTGCGGTTAGGATAGGTCCATGAGGATAAAAAATACTATAATCCCGGGATTAATTATACCACACTTTTCTACCAACCAAACATGGGATAAATCTTCTTAAATTTAGTCCCGAGATTAATTATTTCTTATCTCTCATAAAAAAAAAACGAGCCCTTAAGTTTCTATAATCGTTCATCCAACACCTTCTATGCAGCACCTGCAAATTCAATTAAGGATATTAGTATTCTGGTTGTATATAAGTACACCTGCCAATTATCAACCAACAAATTTAAAATACAGTGTAGATCGGGGTTAATTAGCACATTATCATAGACAAAAGAAATAGAGAAGAGGTTCGGCTAAGCCTAGTCCACGAGCAGACACAAAGAGAAGAAGTGTACAATATAAAGAATTTTCACCTACAACACTTATATATATATATAAATTTCAAGTAGTCTTAAAACAATAAGAAAATAATTTTTTTTTCAATCCTACAAAGGACAATAGGTTTTTTCCCCAAATCTAATAGAACAATGATTTCCCAAACAATAAGATAAAATTTTCAAAAGATACCGGAAAATAATTCAAGCCTACAAATAATAAATATGGGTAATAATCTAGAAATTCCTTAGATTACTAGATTAGATGTGTCTGTCACGACCCATTTTCTGAACAAGCCGAGACCGGCACTCGATCACTAAACATGACCGAGCGAACCATCGCTTATCAAACCTATTATAACTCCAAACATTATATGCAGCAAAGCAATACTCTAACCAAATACTTTTGATTAATTCAAATATTTAAATAAATCAACTCCAAAACTTTATTCATAGCAACCAATGAAATACTACTAAGTTATTATCAAAAACATCTGAATCTTAACCCAACGACTATGTCTATGAAGCCTCTACTGATAAACTGACGCACTGCTCAGGATATGAGATTTCCTAGCCAGTTCTCTAAGTAAACAAAGAAATAGCTAAATAAAAATGACTCTAAGGAATACTCCACGAACAAAAGCGGAGCTCACCAATAGCACTGTAAGGGAAGGAAGTCCTAACTCGTAGCCTGCTCGCCTGCAAATCCGGTTCATACGTTGTACCGCAGATCAACGTAGGTTCCCAAAAGAGAACGTCAGTACCATCCATTGTACTCAGTGAGTCTCAACAACATGGGCGAAACTTTAATAACATATACATTACGAGCAAAGGTTCTAAATGCATGTAAAACATAAAGCGTATAAGAATAATTCTAAATAATCGCATAATAGCAGTTTATGAATATTCTAAAAGAAATTCTTTTTTTTTTCTTTCTTATAAAAAAAAATACTTCACTTTATACTTTGGGAGTTCCAACTATTCTGACTTAATTTTGTCTTTGTCACCGTGTGATCGGCACGGGTTCGATCCCAACCTGATCGAATAGGCCCAATCCACGAGGTGCCACTCGCTTCATGGTTCTCAGCGCTCATGTATCATACCTTAGCATGGCTAAGTAATTTCTCAGCAACGAGACCCTCGGCTCGTGTGCTCCCTACTTTGGCACAAGTAGTTTCAGGAAGTCAACGCCTTGGTCAGGACCCTCGGCCTGGACGATGACCTCTTCTCAGAATAAAGGATACTCCCAAAAATCTTTTCTTTCTAAAACTTCTTCTTGTGACTTTTCAATTCTAAATCTTTTTTTTTTTTTTTGGAACATCCAATACATACTCTTACTAGTATCCTTAAATGTAAAGTTTTTTAATTGATGCACGCTTGTCTATACAATTCGTATATTATGTTTATGCATATAATACCCACAGATACATATAATGTTGTGCTTATATTATTAAGCAATGGCATTACTTGTTATATCTTGTGTTTTCCACTAGTTAAAGATAATAGAAAAGAGTGGCGATGACAGTATAGTAGTGAACTATTTGCAACTGTTTCAATTAAATGGAATTTCAGCACATGTTGTAATCTGTTATAGTATTAGTTTCCATCTCATTTGATAAGTGGACTCTCATCATCACTTCTTTGTCTTCTACTCAACTATATTACTGGGAAATCCTTCTGTAATGATCTCCACTTCAAGTACATCGAGTAATGGCTGATTTAGGTCATAGGTATCCAAGTTTGACATTAAATACTAATTTTCTACTAACCAGACCATTGCTTATTCCAAATAGTGGTATAAACTTATCTGGTTTAAAGCTCGGATTTGGATGAAATAACCATCTAAAAGTATTTCTAAAGATTCTTGCTTCTTCATAAATTTTCAACATGAAAATAGCATATAAGAATAACACAAAAATCTGAAAATTTATGCACATATATCATAATAAATCATCTAAACTTTTGCTAGAACAATTCTAAGTTAATAGGTAAATATAAACTCTTTTAAGCAATTCATCAAACACCTTGTATACGTGCTTTTGTGAGTTAAACCGCTTTAATAAAGGGTTATATCAACTCACCTCAAAACTTCTCAAGCCAATACGTAGGCCCAGTCCAATTGACACCAGTTAAACAATCGATTCTACAACAACCAGTGCATTTTTATCAATTTTAAAGTACTACACCTAAATATGAAATTTATTGTTGATATAGAGGACGAAGGGAACTAACTATTCAATTCTTACTATTTCCACTGTAGGATAATTGACCATAGGGAATTTTATATACCTGAGTTTAAGAATTCGTAACTTGTAAAGAACCTAGAATTCTCCGTGCGTGGCTGCCTCCGTTTGGCAGGCTTGCGTTTGAAAACAGAATCTCTGTTTTGTTCAGGGCATTAAGCTCTTTGTATTCCATTTTTCCTTTTTGTACCACTTTAGGTCACGTGCACTATCCTTTTTTCCTTAATTTTTTTTTTTTGACTTAACTAATATCTTATTATACTTACTTTCAACAATTAATAATATTAACATTATTAATATATTCCTAATTGTATATCCAATTATTTAAGTATATATATATATATATATATATATATATATATATATATATATATATATATATATATATATATATATATATA